ATATATATATATATATATATATATATATATATATAAAGTAGTTAAAAGTATTTATGCTTGTTAGTTGTTCTAAAAAAAAAAAAAATTAAATGCTTGACAACTTTAAATAATGAGTATCTTGTAGCTTGACAAGCTCGCTCCCCCAGCACTGTGCATCCGTATGCATTTCCATTCAAGTTTGACACAACAAACTGCTAAAAGCACAGCTTCATCTGCTGACATTTAAATAATGCAACCAATACTAATCTTAATTAGCATAGCATATGCCGTCAACTACTGCTGACTGTTCAGAAACTTAAAACACACCCTTTAGCAGTACGCTTGTGTAACGTGTGCCTCTTAGCCGTCAGAAACAAGTGAGCGCTACAGAAAACCTGCCAGTCATGAAACTTGAAGACTTCACTGAAGGCACAGGCCCTGACCCAAAACACACTGAGCTGTTATAGAGATACTCTAATACATAGAAACATTATATAAAACAATGTTCATTTAGGTCACTTCATTTATGGTAAAATGTTTCAGTATGGAAGCTTGTTTAAAACAAAAAAGGTAATTGCGACTTCGTATCTCACAATTACGACTTTTTCTCCCAATTGCAACTTCTTATGACACAATTCAGATTTTTTTGCATCTCAAATTTGGACTTTTTTCTTGGAATTCTGACTTTATATCCCACAAATTTTTCTCAGAATTGTGAGTTTATATCTTGCAATATCAAGTTAGAAATGGCAAGTTTATCTCAATTCGGACTTTTTCTTCTCCAAATTGAGAGTTAACATCTTACAATTGTGAGTTAATATCTCACAATTTTGACTTTTTTCCCCCTCAGAGTTGCATGTTTATCTCGCAAGTTCATATTTTGCAATTCTGACTATTTTCTCAAAAATTAGATATAAACTCAGAATTGAAAGAAAATTCAGAATTGGGAAATGAAGTCACAATTACCTTTTTTAATTATTATTATCTTAATTCCATGGCAAAAACAAGCTTCCATATTTCAGTATTTCATTATTTATAGGTAATTTTGTACCTTTTGGCACATCCTTCATGTCAGGAACACACATGATCCCTTAAATGCTCACTAGGTTTTTGGAAAACAGCCATGGTGGTCTGAAACAGATTCTGAATGGAAATGACGTTACGTTCTCAGGATGGTAATCTCTTCACCGCATCATGAATGTTTCATCTGCCGTATTACCAGGACTCTTTTCAGACCCGCTCTGAACACTCTCACAGATATGAACTAGAGGTCGACGACCGATTGATTGGCTGGCTGATTTTTGGCAATTTTTAATTAATTAGCATCGGTCGATTGTGCTACAAATTAGGCCGATTTATAGGCAGGCGCATCTGCGGGCAGCGAGAGACGGTGCTACTCACACTCTGCAGCCGCTTCTTGTTCACACACAGCTACAGCTAATGATGGCAGGGCAAAACAGTTTCAAAATCATAATTACGTTTTACCCAACTAGAATTGATGCCGGAAAGTTACCGTATTCATAAGTGCAACAAGTCATTTGCATGTGAAAGTAGAAACACATGCAATTCAGATGAAACTTCTGGGCTGATTATAACGTGCACGTTAACTTTCCTAATGAAATGTGTGTGTAGGTCCGACAACAGCATCCACGATCTCATCGCTCGTGGCCAGTGCACTCTAAGTAGTTAAGAGCAGCGGGCTGTGTAATGTGTGTGAACTCTTTTATTTTTGTTATCACTTGGCCATTTGACTTATAGCAGTGTCCAGTGTTTCCCATACATTGAGTTATTTGTGGCTCGGGACCGCCCCAAATAGATTTTCCAAAAGGCTTATACTTCGTTGAATAAACTGAGCACTGCACGTTTCAAAATTAAAATGCAGCGCGGGTGTTTTTATATGAATGTATCTTTGAAAAGTACCGACCTTCTTCAGAAAAGCTTCAATGTCATTTTCATTTTGTCTTTCCTGTAATGCCTGATAAAGTAGCGTTTGTGAACGAAGTGCTTATTAGATTACAGCAGTTACCGGGGAAAGCGCTATATTTCCCGCTCCAACCGCGTTTCCTGCTGGCAGAGAATGAATTTGCATTTGCAAGTCTGTGGGAAACGCTGGTGTCTGTCAGCAAACATAAACAAAAAGCATGCTTCAGAACTGTTTTGAGACGGTGCTTAAGTTTTGAGCCATGTATTATTACTCTGAATTAGGCTACTACTACTATTACCATCTTGTGCCCTGCAATAATCATTTACTCAAACTCACCTTTATGAGATGAAGAAAAAAAAAGAAAAAGAAAATCGGCCAAAAACAAAATCGGCATCATATATCGGCCATCGGCCAGTGAAAAACCCATATCGGTCGACCTCTAATATGAACATCAATAAAGTCTACTGCACCTCAAAGAGGAAAAAAATAAACATTTCTCAGGAAAAAAAAAGCACATTTCCTGAAATTGATTACTTGCTACACAAACCAGTGATTTAATCTCACAATTCTGCTGAACAGGCAACAGAGATGTGACTTTTTTACTCCTTTTTTCACATCAGACCTGCTCTAAAACTCTTCTGGCCACAGAAGATCCAAACACACATCTCTGTGTTCTGTATAACAATGAAAGATCCAGCTTAAACACAAAGGACGACATTCTGGTTAAGCACACATTCAGGTAAACATTCCATGGTTTACATTTCACTCTCTTATTCTGGGACAGAGAGCTGACTATTCATCTTAGAGATGGACCTTGTTGTAAATTTAGAGTTTGAACTCCAAAAACCTCCAGAACTCCAAATAAATCAACCAGTTAAGCTCTTCAAGTTCACCGCATCTGAATATGTGTTTAACTACCATTCGAAAACTTGGGGTTGATCAGATTTTTATTAAAAAGTCGAAGTCTCTTAAGCTCAGTAACGTTGCATTTATATTATAAAAAAAATACAATAAAACAGCAATATTATGAAATATTATTACCATTTAAAATTACTATTTTCTATGAGAATATATGTTCAAATGTAATTTATTTCTGTGCTGCAAAGCTGAATTTTCAGCATCATTCCTCCAGTCTTCAGTGTCACATGATTCTTCAGAAATTATTCTAATATGCTGATTCGCTGCACAATAAACATTTCTGATTATTATCAATGTTGAAAACAGTTGTGCTGCTTCATATTTATGGAAACTGTGAAACAGATGCTTTGATGAATAGACAGTTCAAAAGAACAGCACTTTTTTTCTGTAACATTATATATGTCCTTACTGTCACATTTGCTAAATATAATGCATCATTGCTAATTAAAAGTATAAATTTTATGAATACACAACACAACATAACAATATGTACAAACAATGACCCTAAACTTTTGGACAATATTGTAATTCTCTACTAGACAGGATGTCCAAAATACTCTGAATGTCCGCAGTAAACAAACAATACATAGAAGGCTGACTGCCATAAACCTACATCATTAGCTATGTTTCCACCACCCTGTTTTAAAGGGGTCATATGATGCGATTTAAATTTTTCCCTTCTCTTTGGAGTGTTACAAGCTCTTGGTGCATAAAGAAGATCTGTAAAGTTGCAAAGACTAAAGTCTCAAATCCAAAGAGATATTCTTTATAAAAGTTAAGAGTCAGCCACGCCTACCTAAAACGGCTCGTTCTAACATGCCCCCACATGTCTACGTCACGATGTGGGAAGATTTGCATAACGCCACCCAAATGTTCACGCAAAAAAAGAAGGCGTAACTTTTAGTCTCGCTGTAGTATTGTTGACGCTGCAGCCATGTCGTGAAGACGCTGTGTGCTTCGTTGTGAAAGCTAAACTACTTTGTTTGGTCTTCCAAAAGAGGACGATATCCGCTTCGTCATGCCTAGAGCTGATCCGTGCTGGTCGCTGAGGGTGCCCAACCCTGTTCCTGGAGATCGACCTTCCTGCAGAGTTCAGTTCCAACCCTGATCAAACACAACTGAACCAACTAATTAGCATCTGAAGGAGCACTTGATAATTACAGACAGGTGGTGTTTGATCAGGGTTGGAACTGAACTCTGCAGGAAGGTCGATCTCCAGGAACAGGGTTGGGCACCCCTGATGTACAGTATGTGGAAAATAATGTGTTTTTTTTACTTTAAACCGCATAAACACATTTCATTACACAAAATACTGTTCTTTTTAGCAGCATCATATGACCCCTTTAATGCACATTTTGAAGTATCGCATGAGAAACGAGTGATGGAAACGGCAAATTTCGAAAATAAATCCCTTAATTTGGCGTTAACGCGAATAATGGGAGATGGAAACACATTTTGCGAATAAATCCTGGATGAGCGTTCAAAAAAGTAATGTGACTTTGCACTATGGGACAGCATAACCTGACTAACCAGCGGACCGATTTAGTTGCACAGCATCTGAAATGTTGTTATGGTCATTCTGAAGTGCCCGAGCAAAGTCTGTCGTCAAAGTATTTCTGTATAATTGCCTCCCAGAACGGTCTACCATGACTGCGTTCCCAAACAGCAGCATCCACCTCCGAAAGCAAGACATTTATGGTGTTTGGTTTTCGTCTGCTCACTCAACACGCAAGTAATTTATTGTATTTGAGAATTATTATATTCAGTGGCTTCTCTTACTTTTCTTAGTGAGATTTAGTGCCAGTTTATCAGGAAGTGACGATTTTGTTCTCTCTGACTCGCTGGATGGAAACAGTGCTTGTTTGCAAATGTTTTATGCGATATTCCAATTTTGATCATAAGTTAAATTCGCAACTTTGGATGGAAACCCGGCTATTGATATACTGGGTTTGTTTAAAAACAAAAGGCCGCAGAACAAGGTCCAAAACTTTAGGAGAAAGTAGCTGCATTCAAATTCCAATGCACTGCATTTGATGAACAACTTCCTTCTCTATCGAGGGACAATATGCAAGAAAACAGATCTCCAGAATCAATACGGAGCAGCTCCAGTGTATTTCTACATGACCATCAACCAAAACAGTGTGATTAACTCTGCTCTCCTACCTGGACTCTGCAGCTGGGATCCTTTTTAATCCATTTGATGACTGTCTCATAGACCAGCTCCTCTGCTTTCGTGTTCAGGCTGTCGTTGGACATGTAACTGACCAGGTCTTCTTTGGAAATGTTGAGGATCTCGTCCTGACCGGCTACGTCGGGGAAGTTCTGCAGGGCGAAGGCCTTTGCCATGTTGTGGAGTTCAGTGCACTGCATCGCCTCGGCCATGGCCAACACTCCCAGACAGTTAGCGGCCGTCAGCTGTTTCTCTGCGAGAGACGCACACGTACACACATGAGCTGGGAAACAAACCTTGAACACACTAACAATGAGAGGTGTTGGGAAGATTTAATTTATCCAAGTGTGTTGCTCTGGAAAAGGCTGGTGTAATATCTCAAGCAGCTCGTGGGGAAAAGACCCAAGCATGGGAATCGATTGGGCACGAGACTCACTGGAGACTTTGATTCGTCCAGACAGACACAGACCTTTCCTACTGCATGAAAGGTCAACAAAACCACTACTAAACCTGCGCTTACTTCATTGTGCACAACTAAAACAACAGTTTTGGCTTCAAGTCAACATTATACCCATATACTATTTTGCTTCCATTATAACAAACTCAGTGGGAAAAAAAAATAATGTAAATAAAATTGTTACAAATATTTTTCTAAATAAACATTACACAGGAATAATAATAAAACAAATATTATAAATATAATCAAATATCTAAATAAATAATGTCATCCTATTATAATATAATAATATTTTTATGTAAGCAGTAGGTCATGGCTTCGATTCCCAGGAAAAGCAAGAACTGAAATCTGAAATAAAATGGATAAAACTGTCTGCTGAATGCATACAAATAAATAAATAGTTTATAATAAACATTTTAAATGTATTTATATTTTTTATAATATTTATAATACATATTTTATTATTAAATTTCTCACTGAGGTTGTTATATACAGTATATAAATGCAAAATAGATATTTTATATCTACAATAAAATGTTATAAATAAATGATTTTTATAAACAATAATATTAGAAATAAACATTATGATATATATATATATATATATATATATAAATTAACACACTTTCTTTAAGTGTCATTTTAAAAAACTATTTGTGTAAATATATCATATGTTGTATAACTAGTAATGCTGAAAAGTGATTTTTTTTTTATTAAAACATGTATTATCCATTTTATTTTATGCAATGCATTTTCAAGTTTTATTGAATAATGATGTGATTGTATAAACTGCATTTATTTTCTCAACATACTTATTATTTTATATTATTGCAATAATCTGTATTACTATTAATTTACTTCATATTATTATTTACAACATATTAGAAAGGCTGCATTGCCTACAAAAGTAAATAACCGTGGAGTTTAATTGGGTGAAATTGCAGGCATGAGCATTATTATTCTTAATTCATGAAACCAAGCATACAGTGCATGACGAGCTCTGGATAAAAGCATAAAGAAAACTGCACTCATACAACACGTCTCGCAGCACTCAAAACACAGTTACGTGTAATGAAAGCACATGCGCTTATGAAAGCGTAAACGGCTTCGATTTCTATTACCAAATATTTCAATGCACCATCTTGACTAAGAACTCAAAACTCTCTCCCGCTGATGAAACCTTTAAGACGAATCTCTTTTGGAGAGCATTCACATTTCACACACATTCAAGTGTCATATAGCACTTATCTGAAGCAGTCACGCTAACAAGAATGTCTATAGTCAGTCTTGCACATTTCGACTTTTCATTTCTAACTTTTGTATAGTGAAGTAGATGGAGCACTCAGCGAATCCCTACAGGAGAGAACGTCATTTCACAGGCGCCGAGGCGCTGATAGATTAATAAGCTCCAGATCCCAGGGGTTCATGGGAAGAGGAGCACAAACCAGAGCTGTCAAAGCCACCAACATCCACTTTTGATTCTGAAGCTAAACTCATTATTCACATTCCTCACACCTGCCTGATCAACAGCAAATGCAAAAAAGGGCATAATTCATGACAGTGTCAAAAAGCATTTTGATTACTCAATTCAGTTAAGTGCTGTCAAAAACAGTGAAAAAAAGTCACTGTCACTAGTTCTTCAAAGTTCAGTTCAATTCGACAACCACATTCTACAACCATGTTCACTCCCAAAAATTACTAATGACTGATAATGCCCATTTATTGTCTTTTACACAGGCATACAAACAAACAAATAAATAAATAAGCTCAGTAATATATAATTATTTACAGTGGCGGCTCGTGGGTTTTAAAATAGAGGCGGCACACTAATTGTATCGGTCTGGGATCCCTGCCGATTATTATTATTATTTGCTTAACTACTTTAAAATAGCTTTTTGGTTGCTTTTAGTCAGAAAACGTAAAGAAAACGACATGCATACAGCAAGATAATATAATTTCACTTACCTGGCCTATCACTTGAAGCAAACATCCATCCCTTCTTAAAAGTCTGTATTAAAAAAGAGCTGCCTGTTGTGCTATTTAATTAAGCCGACTGCTGTAGCCTATATCCAGCTTAGACTGTTTTCCCTAAATTTGTATATATACTGTTTGAATGACAGCTTGGTAAATCTGTTGGCGATCAAATATTCAATATCGCTACTCATCATAAGTACTTGGTACATTATCAGCGCGGGAGACGTTCAAACTAATATCACGTAATTCGCTGGATGGAAACAGTGCTTGTTTGCAAATGTTTTATGCGATATTCCAATTTTGATCATAAGTTAAATTCGCAACTTTGGATGGAAACCTGAAAAGGAAAATTTCTATTAAAGCTACAAACTGAAACTACAGTTAGAACATGACTTTTTATTGTCATTCTATTTTAATTCTGTTTTGTGCAATAATTATCATTCATTTTGATAAATAATGCCTATTTATTCTTATTTACACATTCATAATATAAGTAGCAGGCTCAGTGAAAAAAACTAAACAAATTAACTAACATTTTGGCAAAAAAAACGGCAAAAATAAATCTTTAAAAATTATTTTTTATAAAATAACATTTCATAAATAACTACATAGGTGTAAAAATACCTATAAACAAATAAATAAATATATATATTTAAAAAATTTAAAATAAATGTTATAAAGAAATATCTCAAATTCATATATACACTATATATATATATATATATATATATAAGATTTTTTTTAATTCATATTTTCAATTGAAAAGTAAATATGCTTACAATGTAATTATTTTAAAACATTTTAAATTGCTATTTTGTACATCAACTGTAGAGAAATCTGGACCCAACCAAAATAAAGTCAGATGCTGATGTATTTATGTCAGGAAGAGGACTATTTACATCCAAATTTTAACACAAAACAAAACCTAGAGATAGATTTTATAACATAAACTGCTTAATCAGCCATTTTCAAGATTTACTAAATATGAAGTGTTTGTGTGACTGCTTTTGTGCGTTGAACTTGAAGCATGTCCAAATTCAGAAATTCACTTCTTGACTTGTTTAATAAAAGCCTACTTAGCGATTCTGTTGACAAACTTGTTTATTGTGCAATATTTTCAATGTGTTTATTGCTAGCGCAGCAAAAAAAATTCGTAAAATAAATTTGTAGTAAAAACACAGAGTGTGAAATTGTAAGTTTACTATAGAAAAGCTACAATTGACCAAATCGACTGGCTTGGTTTGCCTATGGTTTATGGGTAATTCACACTGAAAAGCATCATTTTGTTAAAACTACACTTACAGCATACATTTATTTGAATGTCATTCTATTTCAATTCTACTTACTTCAGATCAAATTCAAATTATGATCCAGCATCCTGCAGGCATCTCAATCTACATGCTAAAATATGTATGGATTGACTCCTCAGAGTCTGGCTCCTGGTGCAATATCTGACGAAAATATTACGACAAGTATTCAGATTACTGGAAATGACTTCATATCAACCGTCAAGACAACTGATTCGTAACCAGGGAGCAGGCCATTACGACTGCTGTAATGAGCAACTGTATTTCTGATTCACTTCAGTCCACAGCAGAGCGCGTGTGTGTGTGTGTGTGTGTGTGTGTGTGTGTGTGTGTGTGTGTGTGTGTGTGTGTGTGTGTGTGTGTGTGCGCG